ATTAATTAGAAATTAAAATTAAAAGCATAATTATCAATTACAGAAGCATCAAACCTACAAATGTTTATGGAACATCTTTATAAAACATGACCTGTATACCACACATAAAATATTGCTGAAAAATATGAAGGACTTAATTAAATGAGAAGACTTACAGTATTCACACAAGATTCAATTTTGTTAAAATCCAAATTCTACCAAAACTTACTTAGAACACAATCTCATTAAAAATCTTAGTGGAGCTTGTTCTAGAAATTGACAAGCTTATTATACATTCATTTAGAAATGCAAGAGACCTAAAATGACCAAAACAACTTTGAAAAAGGTCAAATATAGAGGACTAACACTGTTTGGAAAAAATATCATGAAGTAATGGTGAAGAAAGTGATTATAAAGACATTAACACACAGAAATAAGAGTCCTGAAATAAACTTACCTATAGTTACATGGATTTTTTTGACAAAGATGCAAAGGCAAGACAGTGAAAAAGATAATATTCTAAACAAATGGTCCTGAAATTATTTTGCCTGTATTTACAAAAACTGAACTTCCATTCAAACCTTGAACTGTGTATAAAAGTTAACACAAAAAATGGATTGTAGGGTTAATCTAAAACTGAAAACCTTCTAGAGGTAAATAACTAAAAATCTTTGTAAATTTGAGTTTTGCAAAGATTACTTAGCTGTGACTAAAAGCACAATCCATAATCAATATCTGCCTAGACATTGACAAGATAATGAGAAGACAGGCCACAGACTAGGAGAAAATATTTGCAAATCACATGATTATACCCACAATATGTACAGAACTCACAAAACTCAGTGTCATTAATCATCAAAAAACACATATTGCACTGCACAATCACTAGAATTTCTAAGTCTGACAGTATGAAGTGTCTGTGATGATGTATAGCAACTAGAACCCTTGTATACTGCTATGGGAAACTAAAATGTTAAAATCACTTTTTGGGAGGGTTCTGGGAATTAAACTCAGGACCTTGCATTTGCCAAGCAGGTGCTATACCACTGAGCTATATCCCTGGCCTTGCCAAAATCACCTTAGAAACCTGTCTAACTTTTTTTTCCTTTTGAAGGAGTGTCTCGTTGTGTTGCCAGCTGGTTTTAAACCTGTGGGCTCAAGTGATCCTTCTACCTCAACCTCCCAAATACTTGGGATTACAGATATGCACCACCATGCCCAGCCACTAAAAATATCTATTAAAAAATCTTTGAGAGCTACAAATCCCTCTCATATGTAGCAATATATTTACATAAAAGTACTTGTATTCAGATATTTAAAGGAACTATATTTGTAATGACAGAAAATGGAAACACCCCAAATGCCCATCATCAGGGGTTTGGATGATGAATCACGGTGTCTCATACACTGTAATGCCACTCAGCAGTAGCAGTAAAATAGAACTAGCTTCTGATACACACAAAAATGTGGAAGAATCTTGAAAGCATTATGCCACATAAAGCACATCATACCAAAAAGAGTACATATTGAAGATTCCATTTCAGTGAAATTCTAGAATGGGCAAAACCACTTCTACTAACATACAAGTCTGCTGAATTAGTGAGTGCTTGGGACCAAAGATGGAGGTGTTAGTTTTAAAAAGGTGACAGGGAGTTTACTGTATGATGGAATTGTCCAATATCTCACCTACAGATGTTGTCATGTATATGTTTGTCAAAATTCAGCAGATTTTAAAAGGGTAGATTTATGGTACATATGTTATGCTAAAGAAATTTATTTAAAAATCTTCACAAATCAACTCCTTTCTAGGAAAATGCTCATTACCAAAGTGAATTTAAGTTGCAGAAAATTTGAATGAAGTAATTACTGAGGAAGAAATTAAGACACTAGAGAAATTAACTTGAAAATCTTTAAGATATTCAATATTTTATAAGACAATATGTAAATGACCAAAATTGAGGACACAATGTTCCAGAAAATCAGAAAAGAAGTACATTTTTAGGTTTCCAAATATTTAATTCCCAAAGATAATTTTATAGTAAATTTTTTCAATCTGTTGAGGAACTACCTGTGTCTCTTCCACAGCACAGAAAAATAAATTCCTTTAATCAAGTTTATAAAAAATGAAGTTAAAAGATTAGAAACAATATAAAATCCATGTAATTTTACAAACAAAATTGAACTCTGGCCAACTAAGACATTTTAAAAGAATTAAAAGACAATTCAATACATTAATATGTTTTATCACACAAATAAAATTAGAAAAATCGTATAACCTGTTAATGGCCAAAAAATATCAGATAAAGAATCAGTTCTGATTTAAACATTTTAAACTAAGAATAAACAGTTTATTTGTTAATAGTGTGAAGTAGACCACAAATTAAAGATGACATCTCATACAATAGCAAAACAGTAGAATATTCTCATTTAAGTAAAATGAGGATATTACAACCTTTATGAACAGTTATGGGAATTCTGATCAACACGACTAAACAAAAATAAATAAAATGTTTAAAGAATGAAAAACCACAAATAATTCTTTTGAAAGATGGTATATTTTAAAGAAAATTCCAAAAGATTATCTAGAAAAAAATGTATAAAACTAATAAAAGATGATCATTTAAAATACAGATTGCAAACACTCGAGGAAACCCACAACATACCAACAATATAATTTATTCACTTTTCATATTGTATTGTAAAGAGAGTAGATATGAAGCTTTCACAATAAAAAAGTCTATGTGCAAGTTGTTTTAGGTAATAAGTTAACTTATGAATTACATCTGATGAATAAAATTATGATTTTTTTCTTATTTCTCACAAACTAAGAAAATATTTACATTGAGTAAATAAAAGAACTATTCTATTTACATAGAAAAGAAATACAAGTGGCCAAAAAGACAAAAAAGAAAATTTAAACCTAATGTTGAGTGAAATAATTAAAACATCAAACTGATGATATTTGCCACCTTTGATTGGATACTTGTCCTTATTATAATAGCAAAAAAATTAAATAACACCATTATTGGTAAAAATATGCAAACATTTTCATGCTCTGCTGGTTTGAATGTAAACAGCATATTATTTCACAATAGCAACTGAACAACACAGACTAAAATCTGCACATATTTTCATATTCTTCCAGCCCAGTCATAGACTTGCCTAACATTTTTGTTTAAGGCTGCTCACTATTGTTGTATTTATAATAGCAATTTAAGTGAAAAAAACCTAGGGACTCAACAAAAGATTGTTAGTATACTGATATGATAAGTGCATGCAGAAAAGAAAGAACTCATGATATAGTTCTTGAAACTGTATATTCATGAAAATATTTAAACATACCACTAAAAATATATTTCATATGATTCTGAATTTATAGAAATATAACCTGGGGCAGAAGAAAAGGACTAGACATCTACCAAGATGTTCTGTCATTTCCTTCTGATTCATATGTCTATTGACTTTTTTCTTTTCCTCATCTTTCCAATTTTTCTTAAGTTTTCTATGATGAAGAATTAGTTTTTATAATCAGGTATTACTTTTTATTATTATAAATCAATTTTTATTTTCCTTTTAGTCATAATATTTCTCCCAAGTGCCCTTTCCTGGGCCAGGCCAGCGTGTGACGTTTCCCTTCCTCTGGCGCTCAGGGACTCTGACATGACACCTTAGGACATTTTCTTGTTGGCTAAGTCTGTCTTGCCCAGAGGCTGTGAGTTCAGAGAGGGTAGGGACAGCCCCTGTGCACTTAGGAACCCTAAAGGAAGCAACAGGCTGGCAGGAGACAAATTACTGACACGGGACACATGGAGAGGTAGTAAAAGAAAGCTGGAGTGAGCACAGTTCCTTCTCAACCCTGCTGGCATCCAAAAGGGCAGACCAGGCTCACTGGACATTATTTAGGTTTGCCTCCCATTCCATCTTCCAGTATTATGAGATTAAGAGCCCATTGATATTACCCAGCCACTCGGTGCTATTTTACAGTTGGTACTCAGACCACTCTTCTCAATGGTACATGAACTCTACTATGCAGTTCTTTAATCCCAAGCCGTGGTAACTGAGGAACAGAGAAGCAAGAATAAAGCACAAGTTCCCAGCAATCATTCACCCTAGGTCCAGCCCTGATTCTACCTCTGACTAGCTGCACTACCTCCAGTGAGTGACATAAGCTGCATAAGTACACACACACACACACACACACAGCTATCTCTGCATGTATTAAAATATGGACGTTATTAGGACTAGATGAGTTGACACACAGCATGTGTTTAAGAAGACCTATAAGAGGGTGCAGGTAACATAATGAAGATTATGCTATCTAGGACAGGGAGCAAATACATTTGTTGATTAGTATTTATCAAAAACACATCACCAGAATTCTATGTTTTCCACTCTTTGTCAGACACTTACACTGGTTGGCTTATCTTTCCTGATAAAATACCCTTAATTATTCGCTGTAAAGATATCTTTTAAAAAATTGCCAATCTAAATGAATTTCCAAGGCTTTCACTTTTCACACAGCACTAAAAGTAGTCAACCTCAATCTTGTAGTATACCTTAGACACCAAATCTAAATATGGAAAACTATAAACCTAATAGAGATACTATTCTAGTGAGAAAATCTTACAGTAAACATCCATTTGTTCTCCTAAAAATGTAAAACCATCAAATCACAGTTTTATTGTTCTTTGAACTTGCAACAAATAACAATTTAAGATTATAGACAAAAGTACTTGATATAACTCTGTCTAGTTTCTTTTTCCAGTTATTTACAAATTTATAATTTTTAAATTAATTCAGCTCTTAGGTAAAAAGGGGCTACAGATTTCTGTATCTGATACTTGCACTTATTGTCTCTTTTTCTCTGTGTGTGTTTGTGTGTGTGTGTGTGTATATGTGTGTATGTGTGACTAACCACGCCTGTGAGTCAAGACAGAATAGTGCTTAGTGGAAAACGTGGTGTGACAACTGGGTCAGAGGCACAAAATGACATGTTTACAAGGCACAAACTGTTGTTTTACCTCATCTGCAAGATTTTCTTTGCTTTGCCACGTTCAGTCTCAGTGAAATCCGTATTCAACATCAGATGCCAAGCAAACCCCCTGTGACATGCCAGGAACTCATCCTGTCCTCACTGGGGCAGAGTCAGTGACTCAGAGAGGCCAAGCGGGCTTCAGGAACACATGACATCTGCAGCTGAGAAGAGAGAGAGGAAGCGTCAAAGGAGATATTTCCTCTTCCCAGCCATAAAATGACAACATTAACTCCTAAATATAAGCAGTGTTTTTGGCGGAGCTTCTACACGTTAGGTGTGAAAAGCAGTTGCCTGAAGCTTATTTCAAAAATATAGAAAAAATAAATGAAAAGACATTTTATTAAGTCATACAGCTAAGGGAACAAGGGGTTTCCTCTACCTTGGTTGCTAAATCAAATCTATGGCTAAATCAAATATAACTTAAAAACAAGATGTCTATTTTACTGTCAAATGAGCCCTATTCACTACATGTATATTGTTCTCACTTTTAATCTATTATCCAATTAGGTTTTGTGCCTTAGGATAAGAGTTTATGCTTAAAGTGACACTAGCCCTTTATATAAACATACCTGAAACTAAGAATATGTTGCACAATCTCCAAGAGTTAAGACTCCCTTTTCATCATAACACTATCATGGAGTAAAATGTAATGAGAAGCCACCAGATGCATAGACTATTCCAGGGATAATACAATAAGATTTAACATATGTCTCTACACAAAAAACAAGCTTTGGGTTTAAATAGTTTCAGCAAATCTGTGTTCTCTCCCATAAAGTACCCAAATGATTGCATCAAATGTTTACTTATACTTTTGATGACAACTCAACACAAATTACAAACAGTTTGAACTAAGGTATTAAGGAATGAAAATGAAACCTTCTACCACTATGTGCACCATCTCATGGTAGGAACAGAAACAATTATATGAAGACTTGACAGTACTTAAATATACATTTTCATAGTTCTAGATATGCAGTGGATGCTTGCTAATTAACTCACGGCAGAATGGACACAGACATGAATTTCACTGAAATGTAGTTATAATTCAGGCTATTTTATTAAAAGACAATATCTTGAAGAAATAGAGTCAAGCGTATTAACGTAATTATTCATATCCATGTGATGCTACTCTTTGCTTTGTAAGACAGCAAGTTTAGGTAGAATTTCCTTGGATTCACCACAGGTATTTTGAGGTACACTTGGTCTCCCAGCAAAATTCATGTTACACATCCAAGTGATATGTCTGCAGGGGTGGAAGAGAGGGCAAGAGGGTGACTTGACATAATCACTGCTAAAATGTTTTATTTGCAAATGATAATTTCTCCTTTCATAAATAGCAAATATGCTTCTCTCTCCCTCTCCCTTCCCCACTCTCTCAGGATATCAGGCAGATAAGAGTTATCAGTAAAGGTCATCCTCAATTTCTGTACAGAAATGATCTGTCTCCGGTATGTAATAAACATTTATCCATGCCTTTATTAGCTATATTGAAGCTGACAGTTCTGTTAAACCATTTTCTTTCATTTTGCTAGGTCATGACGGTTAATGCTGCTAAAAAATCTCATCACTGCTTTTGATCGCTGTATTGTCTTCCCTGTATTATCAGAATTTTGTGAAGGTAAGCACTGGCTGGAATGACCTATTAAAGTTACAGCCCGTTGAATCTCTGGTTGTTTTTTTTTTTTTTATCACAATAAAAAGGTAAAGGAGTGCAAAGGATAAATTTTCCTCAGAGGGTATATTTAGTTGGGCAGTTGACAAGTTCAGCCAATGCTGAATTATCCACAGCTAAAAGGATCCAAAGCATCAAATATAAATGAAACTCACACATAATCTAAAATTTTTATTTTGGCCACATCTTTTACCAGAATATTCACAATTTTATACTTTCAAGTATGTTCCTCACATCCAGAGATCAGTTGTCAGTCTGTAGGTGGAAGAAGGAAACACAAAAGCAGGAAGAGCTTGCCACAGATCACACATCCCCAAGACCCTTGGGAGTGCAACTGAAATGTGTGACTGCAAAAGGGGGAAGTCTGCTTCGCAGGTCCTATCCTGCCTTTCCTTTATCTAGGCCATTTAACCATTATTTTTGCTCAAATTAACTTTTAAGAATGTTTCCTTTTGAGAAATGAAAAAAACAGCCATGAATTTGTTTACCTTTGTTGGTGGTTCTTGCCAAAGATCAAGAGAATACAGTTCAGATTAATTACAAAATTTTACCTGTTATTTTTCTATTCAACAAATATTTATGGTGCTTCTGTTTCATGCCGTACACTGTTGGAGTATTCAAGGAGTACACAAATATCCTAACTCATTTCTGCTTTCAAGTAGCCCTAAGTGGTGGCCATAGTGGTGTAATCCCAGCACTTGGGAGGCTGAGGCAGGAGGATCACTGCAACTTAGAGGCCAGCCTGGGCTACACAGTCAATTCAAGGCCAGCCAGAACTACAAAGTAAGACCATATCAAAAAGCAAGCAGGAACAGAGAGAGAGAGAGAGAGAGAGAGAGAGAGAGAGAGAGACAGAGACAGAGACAGAGACAGAGAGAGAGAAAGAGAGAGAGAGAGAGAGA